AAAATTCTTTCAATCTTGCCCCCTAAAGCCTTGCAATTTAGTCCTTAAACTCTTTTATCATTTCTCTTACAATTCCTTCATACAAAATTAGCACAAAAGTTTAAGTCCAAAAATTGGGATGTTACAGCAACCATGTTTATCAGTCCATCTAACATCAAACATGAAGCAAAGTAGCCCATCCAACATCAAATACAAAGCAAACATAAATTAGTCTACACTTATAAATTAGTCTTAACATAAAACCAATAGCTTAAGCAAAGCAAACATAGAGGCTTAAATGTTAATTCAAATCCATCCAAAGCAAGCATTACAACATCAACCATCTTTATCAATCCACACTCATAGGCTCCTCAATGGTTGTAGTAGGACATGAAGTTGAGTTATCTACAAGAGAAGTGAAAATAGCTTAAGTAATAATTTGGATAGTTTAGTGTTCATATAATAAAATAGATTAAGATACATACAAATTATTGTCTTACCTAGATTTTCATAAGTCTCCAAGTCATCCAAATAGTCTTTTACTTGAATAGAATCATGTGTAGACTTCAACCAATTTTGAGTACAAACAAGAGCCTCCACCATCTTAGGATTCAAAGAACTCCTAAATGGATCCAGAATGCGACCACCAGTACTAAAAGCTGACTCGGAAGCAACTGTGGAGACTTGGACAGCAAGTACGTCACGGGCAATTTGGGACAAAACCTTGAACTTCTTACTATTATCTTTCCACCATTCTAAAATATCAAAATCATGGGTTAAAGGGTTCACATTCTCATCAACTAGATACCTATCCAGGTCATTTTTCTCCATATAATCCCCTCGTTGCTTGAAGAATTGACTTAAACAACTCATTGACTGCTTGAACATGTCGTTCTTTGGGTGTATTTGCTGCCATTTCTCTATTTTTTTCATTATCAACCCCTTTACCATAAAAGGACATCAAACTAGACAATGTGTCATCCACTTTTTTGCATAACTTAGAGGCTGTGGTAGCATCATAAACCATGCTAAAACAGTACCGAAGATAGTCCCTTTTATATCTAGGATCAAGTACAACAACAATAAACAACATACAGTTAAATTTTCCCCATTGCCCCAATATTTTTCAAACTTCCTTCTCATCCCAAAAGCCATGGTCGACAACAAGCAATCACTACTTTCACACAACTCACTCAACTGTCTTTGAATGGAACAAATCTCATGGAAAAAAGTGTTGGAAGTGACATGTTGTGATGCACTAAATTTCAAAGTGACTTCATAAAAAGTCTTAAGAAATTGAACAAAAACCTTAGCATTTGCCCAATCTTCCTCCATTGGTGGTCCCACTTTTCTCTTCCCACCATCTTCTTCCAAAAAGTATCCTAAGAACTTTTCATCCTCTTCTTCATATCTATCAAAAGCCTTTTGGAACTTAATAGCAACATCTAACATTATGTATGTTGAGTTCCACCTAGTCGGGACATCTAAAACCAACGAACCCTTATATTCAACTTTCTCTTGCTTCACACAATCTTTGAACTTTTGTAACCTTGCAAGAGAAGATTTGACATACTTAACAGCATTTCGAATTGCTGTTATTGAGCTATGCATCTCCTTTAGTCCTTCATTTACAATGAGGTTAACAATGTGAGCAACACAACGCTGATGGAGAAATTCACCGTC